GTCTAGGGTGTAGGATGTCCTTATAGATTTCTTCAGGACCGGTTGCAGTGAAGTATCGCCTGAGGTTACTGTGTTCCCATATCACGTCTCTAACCCCATGCTTCACGAGTTCTATTTGGCCTCCACATGTCCATGCCACCTCGCTTCAGCTCAGCAAGTTCCATCGGACAGATGGAGGGGGACAAGTCCCCTAGCTAGGTTTTATCCTCCACGCTTTGGGATAACCCTACTTGACCCTCTAGGACCAACTAATTCTTGCCCTATACAAGAATCTAGTGCAATAGAACTGTCTAGCCTAATCCTTTTGAGCGCTTATAGTTGCTCTTCACAAGCCTTGGATGAGACCCTCAGTGTTAGCTTGGTATAGATACCTATGCCACTCAACTTGGCATGTCGCAGTGGTCGCCGCTACGTACTCTGCCTCGTACGTATATAGCGCCACCACCTTCTGTTTCAGCGACAGCCATGAAATTGGAGCCGACCCGAGGAAGACGAGCACTCCAGAGGTGCGCCGCTATCCATCGATGTCCCCCGCCATATCTGCATCGCTGAACACAGTGAGCTGCAGCCTACTCCTGCCGGTCTTGGGATAGATGATCCCCTGATCCACTGTCCCCTTGACGTAGCGCAGTAGCCGCTTCACCGTAGCTCAGTGATCCTCTCTGGGATCCTCCATGAAACGACTGACGTAGCCCACGGTGAACACAATGTCTGGCCTTGTGTGGACTAGGTAGCGCAGACCACCGACGATGCTCTGGTAGAGTATTGCATCCACCTTGGTCGCGGTGCTGGCCTTCGTCAGCTTCAGCCGCTCCTCCATCGGAGTCACGCATGGCTTGCACTCAGCCATGCCGCTCCGCTCCAACAGCTTCGAGGCATACGCGCTTTGACCGAGCGTGAGTTCCTCTTTCCCCTGTCTCACCTCGATGCCGAGATAGTAGGAGAGTGCGCCGAGATCGTTCATTCAGAAACGAGCCGCCATCTCGCGCTTGAAGCTGTTGATGTCCTCCGTACGCACGCCGGTGATGATCAAGTCGTCCACATACACGCCGACGACGAGCTCCTCCTTCCCTCGTCACCGCGTGTAGAGCACATGCTCCGTTGCGCACCATTGGAACCCAAACTCGCCCAGCGTGGCGTCAAGCTTGGTGTTCCATGCTCATGGGGCCTGCCGTAGCCCGTAGAGCGCCTTGCACAGTTGGAGCACCCTATGCTCCTCTCCCTTGATGGCAAAACCCGGAGGTTGCCTGACGAAGACCGTCTCCGCCAGCTCACCGTTGAGGAAGGCTGATTTAACGTCCAAGTGATGGAGGCGCCAATCCTTTGCTGCTGCCAAGGATAGTAGCAAACGAACAGACTCCATGCACGCTATTGGTGCAAAGACTTCCTCAAAGTCGATGCCCTCACGCTGAACAAAGCCTCGGGCGACGAGGCACGCCTTGTGCTTGACAATGGCGCCAAGCTCATCCCGCTTGACCTTGTACACCCACTTCAGGCTGATCGGACAGCATCATGGAGGTGGATCGACGAGCTCCCAAGTCTCGTTTTCCTTGATCGCCTTCATCTCCTCCAGCATTGCCTGTCACCAGTTTCCATCGCGCTCCGCCAGCGTGAACATGGGTGGTTCCTCTGCACTGATGAGCAGCAGCTCTTGGTCATTGAGCAGCTGACCAGCCAGGCCTGAGGGCCCTATGCCACCGACAATGTCATCCAGCCTGCGGAACCACACCTCCTCACCTTCGTGGAAGGCATCCACGAACTCGGTGATGTCACTTGGAGGTGAGGCGAACTCGATCGGCATCGATGGAGTTCCCTGTTCCACTGGAGTGCTTGGCACAGCACCTGGAGTCCTCAGCACCTCGGTTGTAGTGCTTGACACTACTCCTGGATAGCTCGTCACCACTCCTGGAGTGGTCTGCACCCCTCCGGGAGAGCTCGGCACACGTCTTGAAGTGGTCGGCACCACCGCAAGACCCCTCGGTTCTGCTACGGGAATGCTCAGCACCTGTCCTGGAGTGGTCGCCACCACTGTGGAACCTCCCGGCACTACTCCCTGAGTACTCGGCATCCCTCCTAGAGTGCTCAGCACTGCCCTAGGAGTGCTCGGCTCTGTTGCTGGAGTGCTCAGCACCCCTCCCGGAGTGCTCAACACTGCTTCCCTAGCGTCTCCACCACCATGGATGACCAGGTGCTCGACGACGAAGGTGCTGGTGAAGCCGCCAGCTTCCCCCGTGCTTGGACTATTCCAGTCCCAAGCCGCCTTCTCATCGAACACGACGTCGCGTGAGACAAGTACCTTGTCTCCGCATGGGTCGTAGAGCTGGTACACCTTAGTACCCTCCGCGTAGCCCAGGAACACCATCGGTGTGCTCCTGTCCTCTAGCTTGGTGAGGGTCAGCTTTGTCTTCCTGACATGGCCGATGCAGCCGAATGTCCAGAGGAAGGACACGCTCGGCTTGCGCCCATACGGCCATACCAAGCTTCGAATGGCATCTTGCCCGTCAGGGCCTTGGTCGGAGCGTGGTTGAGTATGAACACCGCCGTGGTCACCACCTCACCCCAGAACCTTACCGGCATGCCTTTGGCCTTCATCATGGATCGAGCCATGCCGACAACCGTCTGGTTGCGTCGCTCCACCAAGCCATTCTGCTGTGGTGAGTACGGCGTGGTGTGGTGTCGCACCACACCCTGATCCGCGCAGTATGCAGCGAACTCCACCGAAGTGAATTCACCGCCGCGATCAGTGCTCAGCACACGGAGCTTCTTGCCGCTCTTGGGCTCCGCGTGCGTCTTGAACTTCTTGATTGCCGCCGCCACTTCGTCCTTGCTCATCAGGAATTGCAGCCACATGTAGCGACTGCAATCATCCACGAGCAGGAGGAAGTATCGCCGACCACCATTTGTAGCTGGCATGATCGGCCCGCAGAGGTCGCCGTGGATGAGCTCGAGAGCATCCTTCGCGTGATACTTGGCCGCCTTTGGGAACGATAGCCTCCTCTGCTTCCCAGCCAGGCAGCTGTCATACAGCTCGCCTCCGTGCTTGATGTGGGTAGCCCTCGGACCATCTTCTCTGGCCGACCAAGCGCATCGAAGCTGAGATGTCCGAACCGGGCGTGCCACAGCCACGGTTCCTCGGTGTGCCTTGTCGCCAGGCACACCGGCTACTCTACCTTCAGGTTGAGCAGGTACAACCGGTTCTGGGACCCCTTCACCTTGGCGAGAAGTCGCTGCTCCCGGTCCCTGATCCTAAGGACTCCGTCCTTGATCAGTACCTTGCTACCGCGCTCATCTAGCTGACTAATGCTGATGATGCTTGAACGCAGCTGCAGGATGTAATATATATCCGTTAGCGCGTGGTGCTCCCCGTTTTGGCACCTGAAGATGATGGTGCCGTGCCCTCGGATAGCCACCCTTGAGCCATCACCAAACTTCACCGTACTGGTAACATCATCGTCGAGCTCAGAGAAGGCTGCCTTGGAGCCCGTCATATGGTTGCTGGCACCAGAGTCTAGAAACCACCGCTACTCCTGGTCGGCGCCCACACGTCCGAGGTGGACTTGGGCACGCGGTTTGTCGAGGTTGATAGCCTTCAGGGCCTTCCTAGGTCCTTCCATCGTCATCACCTCTTCCTCAGAACCTCGCCATTAGGATAGTGGCCTCATCATCATCAACATCTTACGCTAGATGAGCCTCAGTCTTCTTCTCCTGCTTGCGATTTGGGCACTCCCGTGCCCAATGGCCCGTCTTCCCGCAGCGTCGGCAGGCATTGGGGTCAACCTGCTTCTTCTTCTCTAAAGAAGCCTTGCCGCGGCGCTTGCCATTGCCACCGCGGCTGGAGGAGCCTACCCCGGAGTTCCTCCGAGTAGCCCAGTCCTCCTCTGTTAGCAGCAGTTTGTCGCTGTCCTTCATTGCTGTCGCCTGTTCTAGGCGCTTGTTCACCGCCCATCGACGGCCTGTCACATCCTCGATGTTGAGGGTTGACAAGTCCAGCATCGTCTCTATGGAGAGAGCGATCTGGATGTACTTTGCCGGCATGGAGTGGAGGTACTTGGAGACCGCCTCCTCTTCGTCGATGGTGACGCCGTGGCTCTTCAGCTTGCTGATGAGCGTCTGCAGGCAGAGGGAGAAGTCCTCCACCATTTCACCATCCTTGAATTTGAGGTTGCGGGTACTCCTGTTTAGAAGCTGGGCCGTCACCTTCTTTGCGCGGTCGGAACCGACGCGCATCGCCCTCTCATCTTTTATTGCTAATGTAGCTCATTTTGTGGTTTAGAAATAAATAGAGAATTTTGTGGTTTTTTAATAAGAATAATAATGATAGAGTTTATTTTTATTTATATGTCATTTCTACGTAACCCTAAACATTTGTAATGTTTTCTAGAGCTTTGTTGTTATCTTTACCGGTCATCCTCTGGGCGCGGGCTGAAGGCCCCTTTAGTCCTGGTTCCTGACCTAGTCTTGAATTCGCAGTCCGGGCCAATTGAGAAACCGGGATTGAAGGGGTTTCTCAACCGGGACTATAGGTCCTTTCTGCATTAGTGGGTGCACCAGTTTCTTCCGCCTATCAGTGCCGAGAGCGTGTCCTTTATCTGGGGAACCCTAGTCACCTGCTAATAATCAAATCAATTATTTTCCTTCTTTTTGACCTGGATATGAAACAAATTAAAGTCACAACACTCAAGCTACTACCTTGGTCGGGCTAGTGGGCGGAGCTAGCAGTGACAACTGACAAGTGGCAGAAAGACACAATTTCTGAATTTAATTTGGTATGGCTCCTTTTTAATAGACAGATATAGTATTGCCATGGTATTAAGAACCTGCATAGAAGTTCTTCTATCTAATACAAACTACTGTCACTTGCATATTCTACGATAATTTGAAGATATTTACCATTAATTTGTATAACGGCTCCACCAAAAACAAAGGGTCACAAGCCTAACAATGCTTCTTCAACTTTATTTACTATATACAGGATGTTCCTTCGCAAATTCGCACACTTATTAATTCCTACTGGTGTTCCTCCTTGCTAGCCTACTCCATGTTACAACCAGAAAGACGAATGCATTGTCGTGCACCAAATCAACAAGAAGGAAATAAGCAATTCTCCATGCCTTCTTGAATAATAGAACACAGAACAGAACCAATAAGACCATCTCAAACCCTGACCCAAGTCCATAGTAAAAGAACGCTGAATCGGAATCTTTTTCACTTTCTTGCTGATTATTGCCATGCCCATGCTCTGGTGTGCCATTCCCTGAACAATTCCTCTGCAGAGGAGGACCGCAAAGACCGCTGTTTCCGTAGTACATAGAAGGATTTTCAGTGTAAAGGGTGTCAAGTTGACGACCAGATGGGATAGTTCCAGTAAGATTGTTATACGAAACATCCAGGTAACTTAGATATGTTAAATCTGAGAGGCTTGGTGGGATTTCACCAGAGAGGTTGTTCTTTGAGACGTCAAGTGATTCCAACGATTTCATAGATCCAATATTCTTTGGGATTTTTCCGCTTAAGTGATTCGATGACAAATTTATATTCGTCAGCAAACTAAGAGAGGCTATTTCATCTGGAATTCCTCCTGCTAAGTGGTTCAATGACAAATCAATTCCAGCCACATAAACTAGCCCATGTGCTCCATACTTGAGCACTTCATGCTTCGTCACCAGGGAAAATGTATCTTGAGACTCATCAAATGCCAAGGATGTGTCTGAATCATCATTAGGCCCAGGCCTATGTTTTATAGTCATTCCAATTAGGTTTGACAAAGTTTTGGAATTGGCCCTGACATATTGTTGGCTGCTAAGTTCAGGTATTGCAGTCCTTTAAGATTTGTGATATTGACTGGAATCTCTCCATCGAACATGTTATGGCTTAGGAGTAAAATACGTAAGCTCACCAAATGTCCAATCCACCTTGGTAGTGGCCCATTAAACCTGTTCCAGGAAAGGTCTAGGAAAACCAGGGATGAGAGGCTTTGGAGCCATGCAGGGAACTTTCCACAGAAGCTGTTGTTACTTACGAGCAGGAAACTTAAGTTTGGCATATCAGAACAGTGAGGTAGTTCTCCCTTGAAAAGATTGTGTGATAAATCCAAGAATTTCATGTTTCGTGACCTACAAATAGATCCAGGAACTTGACCGCTAATGTAATTGAAGGATAGAATTAATCTTTCAAGATTTGGAGCTCCAAATTCCAGTGGCAAATTCCCGGAAAAGATGTTTCTGGTGACATCCAATACCCTGAGGCTTCTCGGCAGTAATGGTATCTGCCCACTGAATTGATTGGAACTCAAATGGAGGTATTCCAAACTAGTACAATTCCGAATACCGAGTGGTATTGAACCACTAATACTGTTGTTAGTAAGGATAAGGTCACTAAGCTGGTCATGTCGTCCATAGTGTTTGGAAGCATTCCTGTCATATTATTGCTTGGCAAAATCAAGGCATACAATTTGCTAGCAGAACACTTTGGTGACTTCTCTAGAAACTCTGTTATGTTACCAGATGATAGACTCCTGGCGAGGTATAGAGATTCCAGTTGGCAGAGATTTTTTAGGTCCACTGTCATTGTGGCTGCATTTCCATTGTAAGAAAAATCTAGGTGTTGGAGCGAAAACATTCTTCCTAGTGCATCAGGGAAGGAACCATACAGATATGTTTCATCTAGGGAGAGTGACTTAATGCTTGTAACATTCCAAAACCAGCATGATGAGATTGGATGGCCGAAGTAGTTCCAGCTGAGGTCAAGCTCCTCAAGTTTGGTCAGGTTTAGGTTTGCGATCGACTGATTTGCACTTGGAAGTGAACAATTCATTAAAATGATGTGCTTCAGAGTTGGAATCATGTTGGCCACATCAGGAAAATCAGTTACTGTGCTGAGAGTTATGTTGCTCATGTCAACATACTCCAACATATGTAGGCGACTTAGCCATGAGACATCTGTTGAGTATGTACTATTATACATCCAACTGAGGTCAAGATGTCGCAATGATGTAAGGTTCCCGAGCTGATGAGGGATTCTACCGAAGAACGATGTAAAGGACAGGTCGAGGTATTCCAAGTTGGAAAGGTTGCTGAGCAGGGGAGGCACTCTACCCGAGAAAGGAATGTAGGAGAGGTCAAGATGTCTCAAGTTGTTCATAGAACACAAGAACTCCGGGAACACACTAGCGTTGGGCCCCTGAAGGAAATTTGTGCCAAGGTCGAGGTGCTCCAAATAACCCAAAGAAAGCAAGGACGAACTTATCTGCCCAACCAAAAGGAAGCTGTTGAGATCAAGCTCGACAACATGGCCTGTTTGGTTGTTACAGGTGACGCCGGTCCATCCGCAGCAATCCTGGTCTCGCCGCCACGAGGCGAGGAGGTTGCTGCTGTCGTTGGTGATGCCTTGCTTGAACGCCAGGAGGGCATCCTGCTCGCTTGGCACGCAGCCTGCGGTATCATTGGCACTGCTGGCTCGTTGAAGCTGCTGCGTTGCGGCCTGCGAGTAGAGGAAGAAGCGGAAGGATGCGACGATGAGGAGCATCAACTTGGCAGCCAGGTGAGGCATGGTGGTGTTGAGCAGAGATCGGCTATGTGCTTGAGAGTGGATCCTTGAATATGAAGTTGTGTCTAGATCTAGCCGGGTTGTTGCACCTTTAAAAGGCAGTGCATGCACAACGGCGCAGGAGGTCCTTGCTGTGAGTCTACCACGGCTACAATGCTAGAGAGCTGTTTGTTGAACGCATATTTGGCTAGTGAAGGGCGATTTCTTGCTACAACGAAGGTGTTTAATACTTAAGTTTGTGATTTCCGAATTATTTTTCATCTGGTTTATCTTACTATTTATATCTTGATTTTATTTTTATGAATATAGATATGCACAATTTAGATTCAAATTCAGGAAGTTACTTTATATCAGCTTTCATAATACCATACACGGCTAATTCAGAAGAAACTTAGTGGTTACTTTGCATTATCTTTTGAAATGGCAAAAGTGAGTAATTTATATAAAAAATTCGGATTTTGTTTCGAATTACCTTTCATAATGAAATTTGTTGAATTTAGATTTAGGTGTATAACTCCGCCTATGGTGGGGCGCCTTTGGTGTCCCAGCATAGCAGGTCCCAAGCCCTGGTAAAGGAGGAGGGTTGTGTTAGGCGTGGCAAGCCAATGTAAAAACTTAGCCACTTAAATGGAGATGAAACCCGAAAGAAAATCGCTGAGGCGTAATCCTCTTAGCGACGCGCCATATCGGAACCGGGTATGGTGTTAAATGGGCAAGGCCGGGTCATCACCCCGTGACGCGCCGTGTCGTGATCTGGGCATGGTGTCAAGTAACCAAGGATCGGGTCGTCGCTTCAGTTAGAGCGCTACATCGGCCGCGCCGGTGTAGTGAAAATGAGCAAGGGTCTTCATCGAGTCGACGGGTGACGAAGGGTAAGGAAGCTAGTCGAACCAACTAGGATCCGTTTAGGTAGTTGGAATGTAGGGTCACTTAGATATGTAAGTTAAGAGAATTAGTTGATACCGCGACTAGGAGGCGTGTAAATATATTATGCGTTCAAGAGACTAAATGAAAGGGTCATAGAAGCGAAGGAGGTGGACAATACAGTTTTAAGCTTTGGTACACAGGATAACATGTCAATAGAAATGGAGTAGGAGTTTTGATTGATAAGAGCCTCAAGAATGGTGTGGTGGGAGTGAGAAGGCAAGGAGATAGGATTATCTTAGTCAAGCTTGTCGTTGGTGATATGGTCTTGAACGTAATTAGTGCGTATGCCCCCAAGTAGGCCTCAACGAGAGTGCTAAGAGACAGGTCTGGGAAGACTTATATGGCTCGGTTAGAGCTATACCTAGTAGTGAGAAGCTTTTTATAGGAGGAGAGATCTTAATGGGCATGTAGGTACTAGAAGCGCAGAGTTTCGAGGCAGTTCATGGAGGTTTTGGGTATGGTAGTAGGAATCTGGGAGGGGAGGAAGTTCTGGACTTCAGCGGTAGCTTTTTACGATGATAGCCAACACTTTCTTTAGAAAGAGAGAATCTCATCTAGTGACCTTCAGTAGCGGACAACACTATATAGCGATTGACTTTGTCCTCGCAAGAAGAAAGGACAAACGAGCATGCTTGGATTGCAAGGTGATACGGGGAGTGTGTTGTTTCTCAACATAAGCTTTTGGTGGCAGATTTACGAGCGTTTTCAGGTGCGTGTCCGTTTGGGATAAACAAGCTAAGATTGAAAGAACAAAGTGGTGGAAATCCAAGAAAGGGAGTTTCGTGAGGTATTTACGGAAAAAGGTTATCAAAGAGGGCTCTTGGAAGGAAGAAGACGACATAAACAATATGTGGGACAAGATGGCAACCAACATTGGAAGGTAGCCTTAGAGGTGTGTGGAGTAACCAAAGGAAGGGGACGCGAGGCTAAAGACACTTGGTGGTGGAACGAGGAAGTCCAAAGGGCTATTAAGGAGAACAAAGAATGCTATAGACGCTTGTACCATGACAGAGTGTGGACAACATAGAGAAGTACAAGGTGGCAAAGAAGAGTGCAAAGCGAAAGCTGTAAGTGTGGCAAAGGGGGTAGCGCACGAGGATCTTTACCAACATTTGAGTAACGAAGGAAGGAGAGAAGGACATTTATAGGATGGCTAGGGTTCGTGAGAGAAAGATACGGGACTTCAAACCAAGTTAAGTGCATTAAGGATGAAAGGGAGCATCTCTTGGTAAAGGAGGATGAGATCCGACATCGATGGCAAGAGTATTTTGACAAATTGTTCAATGGTGAGAATATGGACACAACCTTTCAGTTGGATGACTCTTTTGATGACACCAATAGGCGCTTTGTGCGGAGAATCCAAGAATCGAGAGGTCGAGAGGCGTTGAAAAGGATGAAAGGAGGTAAGGCGATGGGACCGGATGGTATCCCAATCGAGGTGTGGAGATGCCTCGGGGACATAGTGTAGTATGGTTGACCAAGTTGTTCAACCATATTTTTCGATCAAACAAGATGCCCGATGAGTGGAGGAGAAGTATATTGGTACCGATCTACAAGAATAAAGGGATATTCAAAGTTGTACAAATTACCGGGAATTAAGTTGATGAGCCATACTATGAAGCTATGGGAGAGAGTTATCGAGCATCGCTTGAGAACAATAACGCTGGTCTCTATGAACCAATTTGGTTTCATGCCGGAAGGTCAACCATGGAAGCCATTTTCTTAATAAGACAAGTTATGGAGCGCTATAGGGAGAAGAAGAATGACCTACACATGGTTTTTATTGACTTGGAGAAGGCTTATGATAAAATACCAAGGAATGTTATGTGGTGGGCTTTGGACAAACATAAAGTCCCAAAAGGCACGTCGGGCTCATTAAGGACATGTACAACAATGTTGTGACTAGAGTTCGAACAAGTGATGGAGACACGGATGACTTCCGATTAGGATAGGACTACATCAAGGGTCAGCTTTTGAGCCCTTATTTGTTTGTTTTAGTGATGGATGAGGTCACAAGGGACATACAAGGGGACATCCCTTGGTGTATGCTTTTCACGGACGATGTAGTGCTAGTTGATGAAAGCCGGACAGGAGTGAATCAGAAACTGGAGTTATGGCGGAGACTTTGGAGTCCAAAGGTTTTAGACTTAGTAGAACTGCTGAGTATATGAGATGTGACTGCACTACTACTCGGGAGGAGGAAGATGCTAGTTTGGAAGGTCAAGTAGTGCCTAGGATGGATACCTTTCGATATTTAGGATCAATGCTATGAGGGACGGAGATATTGATGAAGATGTTAGCCATAGAATCAAAGTAGGGTGGATGAAGTGGCGGCAAGCGTTGTGTCCTATGTGACAAAAGGGTACCACTGAAGCTAAAATGCAAGTTTTATAGGACGGCGATTAGACTGCTATATGTTGTATGGTGCAGAATGTTGGTTCTCGAAAAGGCGACATATTCAACAGCTAAGTGTCGAAATGCGATGTTTGCGTTGGATTTGCGGGCATACAAGAAGGGATCGAGTTCGAACGATGATATACGTGAGAGATTAGGGTAGCGCTAATTGAAGAAAAGCTTGTCCAACACCGGTTGAGATGGTTTGGACATGTATAACGGAGACCTTCAGATGCACCGGTGCGTAGTGGAATCCTAAGTCAAGATAGTAATTTGAAGAGAGGCAGGAGGAAGACGAAGTTGACTTGGGTAGAGGCAATAAAAGGAGACTTGAAAGGATGGAATATACCCAAAGACTTAGCCTTAGATAGGAATGCTTGGAAGACAGCTATTCAGTAATTTGAACCTTGATTGTTTCTGTTGGGTTTCAACTCTAGCCTACCCCAACTTGTTTGAGACTTAAAGGCTTTGTTGTTGTTGTTGTTAGATTTAGGTGTATATTTATGTGCTACTTTTCGTACTTTTTATAATAGCAGAGTTGTGTAATTTATTATGAAATAAACAAAATAGATCTGATGCCTATTACTGTGGATGATAGTTAGAAATAATACACTAAATAATTTCTAAAATTTATGATTTCTGCTAGCGCGTCTGGCAAGGCTTAACATTGAAGCCTTCTAAGTAATAATATAGTAAGGTAACTATTGATTGGAAGTATTATTTTCTATATATTTAGTTAAACTTAGAATGGTACTACTCATACCCGATTTAGAAATTAGAATTGTCATTTTTTTGTTGTTGAGAGAATAGGTGTGCAAGCCGTGAATCAAAGGGCCGTCGGTTGCGTGCCAAATACGCTGGAGAGCTTGTGTTTCACGTCACCTAATTAATGTAAGCTCCATCGTGATCACACAGGACAGGACAGTCGTGGCGACCAAACGTGCAGCTCTCCATTATGTAGGATTGACCTTGACTCAGCGGGAAAAGTCTTTGTTTAATCTTTGTTATTATTTTAGTGAGTTGGGTTTTCGTGTAAATTTCACACAAGAATCGAATAAAAACAATGCAATAAATCCCAGAATGATAGGAACAAAAATAGATCTAATAGAAGGGTGGCTTGGCTTACCCAATCTTACTATTTATATCTTGATTTTATTTTTATGAATATAGATATGCACAATTTAGATTCAAATTCAGGAAGTTACTTTACATCAGCTTTCATAATAGCATATACGGCGAATTCAGAAGAAACTTAGTGGTTACTTTGCATTACCTTTTGAAATGGCAAAAGTGGGTAATTTATATAAAAAATTTGGATTTTGTTTCGAATTACCTTTCATAATGAAATTTGTTGAATTTAGATTTAGGTGTATATTTATGTGTTACTTTTCGTACTTATTATAATAGCACAGTTGTGTAATTTATTATGAAATAAACAAAATACATCTGATGCCTATTACTGTGGATGATAGTGAGAAATAATACACTAAATAATTTCTGAAATTTATGATTTCTGCTAGCGCGTCTGGCAAGGCTTAACATTGAAGCCTTCTAAGTAATAATATAGTAAGGTAACTATTGATTGGAAGTATTATTTTCTATATATTTAGTTAAACTTAGAATGGTATTACTCATACCCGATTTAGAAATTAGAATTGTCATTTTTTTTGTTGAGAGAATAC